CATCATTTTGGTGGTCACTATCATCATCACCATCATCATCATCATTTTTGCAACATCATTTTGGTGGTCACTATCATCATCATCATCATCATCATCATTTTTGCAACATCATTTTGGTGGTCACTATCATCATCACCATCATCATCATTTTTCAGCAACATCATTTTGGTGGTCACTATCATCATCACCATCATCATCATCATCATCATTTTGGTGGTCACTATCATCATCACCATCATCATCATTTTGTCAGCAACATCATTTTGGTGGTCACTATCATCATCATCATCATCATTTTGTCAGCAACATCAAGGTCAGATTCATCATCATCATTTTTGCAAGATAATGTTGTATAATGGGTATCATCATGTATCATCATGGTAATGATTTTGCAACATCTGCTCATTTGGTGGTGCTCTATAACATTATGCTGATGTACTTTCATTGTCACTCATCATTACTGGTACGATGATGATGATGATGATCATCATCATCATCATCATTTTTGCAACATCATTTTGGTGGTCACTATCATCATCATCATCATCATCATCATTTTGGTGGTCACTATCATCATCACCATCATCATCATTTTTGCAACATCATTTTGGTGGTCACTATCATCATCACCATCATCATCATCATTTTTGCAACATCATTTTGGTGGTCACTATCATCATCACCATCATCATCATCATTTTGCAACATCATTTTGGTGGTCACTATCATCATCACCATCATCATCATCATTTTTGCAACATCATTTTGGTGGTCACTATCATCATCACCATCATCATCATCATTTTTGCAACATCATTTTGGTGGTCATCTATTTTGGTCATCATCATCATCATCATCATCATCATTTTGCAACATCATTTTGGTGGTCACTATCATCATCATCATCATCATCATCATCATGGTCACTATCATTTTTTTGCAACATCATTTTTTGGTGGTCACTATCATCATCATCATCATCATCATCATCATTTTTGCAACATCATTTTGGTGGTCACTATCATCATCACCATCATCATCATTTTTGCAACATCATTTTGGTGGTCACTATCATCATCATCATCATCATTTTTGCAACATCATTTTGGTGGTCACTATCATCATCACCATCATCATCATTTTGTCAGCAACATCATTTTGGTGGTCACTATCATCATCACCATCATCATCATCATTTTTGCAACATCATTTTGGTGGTCACTATCATCATCACCATCATCATCATCATTTTGCAACATCATTTTGGTGGTCACTATCATCATCATCATCATCATTTTGTCAGCAACATCATTTTGATGGTCACTATCATCAACATCATCATCATCATCATCATATTGGTCCCACGCAACCAAAGCTCATTTTACAAGGGAAAAAAGCAAAAGCACACTTGGTTAATTGCATGTCAGCATATCCCAACTGAGTGGACTGATGCACTTGAAGTCAATCACTGGATTGTCTGCTGCAAGCCTGATTATTTAGCACTGCCTTCAAATGGCTAAAATACTGATGAAAGCAGTATTAAAAAGCAAACAAAACAACAACAATACTGTTATCATCATCCTTATTGTCACCCTTATACTGTCATCTTCATCCTCATCTTCATTATTATCATAAGCAACACCGAAAAATCAGATATTGCTGAGAGCAGTATTAAACAGCAACCAAAAAACAAACAATACTGTTATCATCATCCTTACTGTCACCCTTACACTGTCATCTTCATATTCATTATTATCTTAAGCAACACCAAAAACTCAACTTTTACAATAAAAATATTTTTCAATACAAATTTCATGTGTTATCATGGTTCAGGTGTGTGTGGTTGTTGGTGGGCGGAGTTGGTGATAGGTGGTGTTTGGTACTGAAAGGATCTTCCCACCACTGATGATTTCATAAAACAGTACAACATCAGCAACAGCATCTTGATAGCAATTACAACCAAGTTACCCCAACACAAATAATTAATCAGGTTTTGCCCTATCGTAGGAGCATACTTACTATTTCCATTATCAAGTAAATGTTTTAAATCTAATTGTTTCAACAAACAAGTTCACTGGTGATTTGTTGACAATTAAATATCAGTAAAGAGAAACAGCATATGTATCACCTGTGATCACAAAAGTACACTTAAAGTTCAACGATATCAAACTTGCAATAATATTACGATATATAATTAACAATTAAACTAAATGATATGTTTTGGTGAGTAGTATCAGTCAATACAAAACAATCCCGCCTGACGTACAGCGGAGTAAGAAATGGAAGTCATGATGAGGGGAATCTGATCACTTCCCACATTTATAATGGCAGCTGATAAGCAAGTTACTTTCTACCAAGCAATCACTATGTTCATAATATTTATCTTAAACACTTTGAAATGAATGTATTAAACAAGGTTGTGATGAAGAGTTCTTTGACAAATAACTATGTTGAGAATAGTGGATATGTGTATTGTGTAGTATGCAATATACAGGCAATGCCATTATCTCAAAGACAAACGTGAAAGGTGTGTGTGCTTTGTTACCTACATAATGCTTTAAATAAATAAATAAATAAATAAATAAATAAATAAATAAATAAATAAATAAATAAATAAATAAATAAATAAATAAATAAATAAATAAATAAATAAATAAATAAATAAATAAATAAATAAATAAATAAATAAATAAAAAAAATATAATAATAATAATAAATAAATATATATTATGGATAGCAAACAAGTTAATTCAAAATAAGATTCCTGATGCCTAAATTATTCTTTTCTTGCGAGGAACTGAAAATCCATGTTTCCAACTTCAGTCTAGGGAATGTGCAGGTAGTAGATGATCAATTGTCTGTCCCATAATGACGGATGATATTCATTGTTTCTGCTTCTAGGGCTACTTCTTGCAAAGCGTAGGACCCTGATCAGTTAAGTTGGTTAAGTGCCAAAGAAAAACGGGCGAGAGAGCAAGACTGGGGCCGCCTGCAAACATGCCTGCTTCTAACAACTGTCAATTACTATCAATCATTCTTCGTTAATACATCATTAAGTATTGTCCCTTCTTGACTGACCGGAAAATGCCATTATAAAAGATTTGGGTTTGCTAAAACATCCCAAAAATGTGCTCTCTTTCTTGTAGTTGGAGATTATGAAGCTTTTGGAAGTGATCTGTCAGTGTGAGTCTGTCAAGTGGGCTGTCTCGCCTTCTGATGTGACTGCCAGTCTTGCTCAGCCTTCCCCTAGCTAGGAAAGTAAATTACACTTGTATGCACTGGTAATTCTATTTCATCTAACAGAAATCAGTCTAGATAGCCTGTGGCAACTCCTGTCTCCTTGCTGAATTCGCTTCCTACAACGCCATCCCGCATTAGTTTCAAGTGCTATGGTGGTGTAAGCGCTAATTACGAGTCACACATCACCTCAGCTTCTCTATTTAGCCTTAGATTACTGACTGATAAAGAAGCCATGTTTTTCTGGTCTTTAACATTTTATTTCTTTCAGACTGACGTGTGTCTAGACACAAAGTTTGCAAGTGTATTTCTCTGGCATCTTGTGTTGATTTACATGTGCTGATGATTGTCAATATCACATAATGGCATGTAATAGCGTTTGTGCGATGTACATCTCTCGTCTTTAGCTGGTTGCCAGCCTGGGAGACAAGTTCACCACCGATCACGATAAATCACAAACACTTAATGGGATACCTGTCACAGCACCCAACCACTTCTTCAATGAATGTGGGGATGAAAAACAGGTAGAGGTGTCAAGCATCCCTCTCTCCCCCCACTGGCCCCTCCCCCTTCCTGACTCCCAGTTTTCTGGGGACTGATATAGGCTTCAGCTAGATCAATGCCATTGAACACCAAGTCAAGCGGCTGATTGATTTATGAGCAACACGTTAGATATAAAATAAATTTGCGAGGAGCAGCTGGCCCCGAGAGACTGAGCGGCTAAATAGCAACCTGTCATTTGAAGTAATTCATCCTGACCGGTAATCCATTACTTCAGATGCTCACATAAATCTTTCGTCTATTTCGGTCCAGCCCCCACCCCTGGGTCTCTCTAATGAAAGAAAATCCATACCAGCATTGTTTGGTACTTGGGGCTGCTTGCAAAAAGTTACTTGTCTCCTCATATGGGTAAAATGCATTGTCACTTGCGTGAGACAGACAGGCTGTTGATGACAGCTGCTAGACTCCAACATGTCACATGCAAATCAAATACTGAAGCTGTAGATAAAACCACCCCACTTGGCCTTGCTGGGGAATTTTCTTCATTAAGTATTATTTATGGGCCGAGTAGCTGACATGTATGAAAAATAAATGACGTTATTTGTGCTCTCCTCTGACTGATAACACTAGCCATCAATCACGCGCCAATTAGCATCTCTCATTACACAACCAAATGAATTCCATCTATTCTAGCAGCCCTGGCAACTTGACAACAGCTCCCCTCTGAACTACATCATTACACATGCAAAAAGTTACACATCTCTCATTATGACTGCAAATGTCATCTTATCATTCTATCTAATGTAAGAGTTAGCCAATATATCTTGCAAGCTGTCAAAGGCGAGCCGGGCGTCTTTGTTTGCACTGTTGAGCAAATACATTTACAATAAAAGCGGGGATGATTGATGCGCGAGGAGATTGATTGTTTGGGCGCCACAAAGCCCGTGTGACAGCTGATTGACAGCGGCAATGAGAACCTTGATTGATGCCCCCAGAACAAATAGCAGATGGTCGCGCTCGCCTCGACATTACACAGGCTCCTGACCTACTAGAACACAGCAGAAAAACTCGGACATTCGAGTCAAGAATCTACCTCAAATAATGCGAAGCAGAATGGTTAGCGCGATCTGCACTCAGTAAACAAAGTGTGTCTGGTGACAGCACATGTGACTGACAGCTACTGACATGCTAGACAACAGGGTCTCGCGCCAGCTTCGATTGTAATATACTCAACACACACAAAATGACAGTTTGTTACTTACATTTCAATCGTTTCGGGTAGTTCTGTTTTCTTCTCGGCATGTCGAGCACCTGTGCTAGTCTGATCGCATAAGTACCACTCTCAAAACAAACTTTGAATGGACCGCATGAGGAGCGCAGTGGATGCGATCCGATCGCTACCAACCTTTCATATGACCCGGATACAAATTAAAGGTCATTTCGGGACACACGCATGCGTACGTCCCACGCACCTGCTTCCGGAAAATGGCTGAAAGTTTCTTGTGTTTTAGCAGGAAAGTTTAAAACGAATACTATTGCACTGATTTTTTAAATGCATGGTAAGTTATGACTGTCATGTTTTGATCTTGAAACATCAGACACGTTTTACTGCAGCTTTATGACCCAGTCATAAACAGACGTCCATATCGCTAATATGATGAATATGACCCATATTTGATTGATCATGATACATGTTAAACCAAACTTACACTTGAATGAAATAGTCTGTAATACTTTCTTACACAGCATTGTATATGACATTCCCGTGGTATATTGCCGACTAATGTCATACAGATCTGGGTAATTGTCTTTAATTGCCATAGAGACGGAATCTTGACAGACATAAGGTGCAGTCAAACCTGCTTGTGTTTGTGAAATATGATGCTATATTTTAGGTTTTATTCAGTAGTGTTTGATGCCAAAGACATACTCATTGTTAAATTAAATACAATGATTGTTTCACTTGATTTCAACCGACATGTTTATAGGATAAATATTATGGCAGTGAAATTTGCATGACCATTGTGTTCATTCGACAGAAGTATATTGTCAGCAATGAATTACACAGAAAATTATCTACTATTGATTTTGTAAGTTATAATAAGGTGTCTTGGTTTACCATTGGTAAACACTTTCCTAAACATTGCTCCATTATTTGAAGAAGCACAAGGATTAGCTAACAACAATTACTGCTGGCTCATTAATGAACTTGTCAATCAACATTGACAATGATAATTACACCTTGTCAATTGCAGTGTGCATTAGTGCATGACCATGTCAAATTAGGAACTTTTTTTCAGTTTGATAGCATGCATTGCCAAGATAGCATGTGCTTTTTGCCAAAAATGTGGTGTTCTTGATGAAATAATGATTCATAGTAATTTTAAGAATGAGTCTGCCATGGCTGCTGTACACAAGATATTCAATGCTACAATTACAGTCAAAGTTTATAAAAAGTTTAAAAAGTAATAACAAGGTGGTTACAAAATATATCTCTCTTCATTTACTTAAAGCCATTGTGCCAAATTAAATGAGTTTTGTTAGTTGAATTGTGTTGGAAGTACAAAGAGGATATTTGTCCAGTGTTGATCAATAATTTAAGTAGTACCATCCACCAGTCAGAATATTTTGTCAATTCTAACAAGGTATTTTCTTTTCTTATCCAGTGACTCTGATTTATTTAGCATTGATAAATCCAACACTGAACCAGGAGAAGTGTTGTGTAACAGTATTTCAGTTATCACAATTAGTAATTTTTAGGTATAACAAACAACATTAATGCTGATCTCTTTTTTGAGTGGCATGTTTAGAAGTTGGTGAATCAGATCACGACAAACTTTATGGATGAGCAACTTCCTTATTCAGTTGAATAAGGAAGTTCATCCCAATAAAGAAGTTGCTCATCCATAAAGTTTGTCCTTATCTGTCTACAATGATGTACCACTGAAATGAAATTATGTGCATTGCAAAAACAGGAGATGAGTTGTTCAAACTCGCTGAGATGGTTGATGATATCCCAAATAAGTACAGCAGATCAATGCTTGGGATGTCAGTCACTGGCAGGTCTGGTCAAGACACAGTAACTTACAGACCAGTGTTATATAGCTGAAATATTGCTGAGTGCGGCATTGAACATCAAACAAACACATAGCAAGCACTAATTGAATACTTTTTGTTAAAGATGCTTTAGCACCAGCTGACCCCCAAATTTTAAATTTTTTTCCAAAAGTTAATCTGATACAACCAGTTCAGATCGTGGTAAGAGCTAATATCAGACTAAAGCTGAGTGAGTGAGTGAGTTTAGTTTTGCGCCGGACTCAGCAATATTCTAGCTATATGGCGGCGGTCTGTAAATAATCGAGTCTGGACCAGACAATCCACTGATCAACAGCATGAGCATCGATCTGCGCAATTGGGAACTGAGAATGTGTCAACCAAGTCAGCGAGCCTGACCACCAGATCCTGTTAGTCGCCTCTTACGACAAGCATGGGTTGCTGAAGGTTCATTCTGACCCGGGCCTTCACGGGTATCAGACTAAAGCTGACTAGTTTTTATAGGGTGGAATGTATGATTTAGCATGGACACTACTAGTGGTGTTCCGATTAATTGAAGTGATCGAAGATTGGTCGTAGTGACCTAACGACCATGCAATCGATCACATTTCTCATAATCAAACACAAATGATTATTAGGGCAGGAAACAAACCCATTTTGGGTAGATGATTTGATCAAATTGAGAGGTATACATGATATGTATATCAAATTAAAGCTGAAGAGCTATAGAATAATAATAGACATGGTGTGGAAATATTTGCGTGGACACTTTCTGGTAAAACCGGATTTGGGGGGCAAAAACACTAAAAATCATAATTTTGCCAAATATCTATTTTAATTTTAAAACTATTGACCCCATTCAAACAAATTCACCATCACATGAAAGGTTATTCTCTGTACAATATGGAACTACTGTTTTAGTGTTTGAAACCCTTTGACGATGGAATATATCTTAGAAAGCCTGAAAATGTGTTTAATTCTTAGAAAACTCACTCCACTTACTAAAAAGTCATGACTGAATATTTCTTGAAGACTCCAGTAAGTTTATGTTCATGATTTAAAATAGCAAGTTGCATCATTTTACATTGGATGTGAAATTTGCAAACGCAAATGCACAGTTTCTAAAAAACCCAGAGAACCACATTATACCTATCTGCAATAACAACCTGAATAGAAATTTGTAAAATGACGATAACCAATTTTCTTCGATGATTGCTCATTGGTAATGAACCAGACATCAATTTGTGAGATTTCAATCAATTCCCAACACCAGATACTACTACTTATAATTATGACATGCCCTGTTTCATTACTTAACTAGCTGATGGAATAAAATACTTCAGAGGCAGACTATTTTATCCATGTTTATAATTCTACAAATGTTCACTTGCTAGTCTGTTAAATCCCAAAGTAACTGAAGCATAGGCCTTGAGAGTCTTTGAGTCATTCTTATGGCTAATCTCTTTAAAAGACATAAGACGTTGGTATGATAATCAAGGGAGATAATTCTATGGGTACACAACTTCTATATTACAATGGAGTGACATTTCTTTGAAGATACTAACACAATCATGAGTGAGTGATGAAAAGAAACATGAAGTAGAAGTGTTATATACACGTGCCTAATTCAGGTTTATGCAAGTAAAATGGTGATAAAGTGATGTTTGCACAAGTGGTATGGTTGTAATGTGAAGCCTGATTGATATAAATATAACAATAGATAGGATTAACAAGTCATGAAGAGTAAAAACACAGGAAGCCTGTATCATGATGAGGAGCATTAAGATGTATATATATAGTGGACAGGGTTGGGTGAGATTGCATGTTTATTAAAACATTGTGAAAACGTTTCTTCAGTGAGCACATTTTGCAGTGTGTGTTGCTAGGAATTATGGTCAAACATTCCAGGTAACCAGTGTATGGTTCCAGTATTACTGTCAGAAGCTCAGATCAGTTTACTCACAACATTAACAGTTAAGAAGATAGATACAGGAGGATATGCACAAGAGAAAAGTCCCAACCTGACTTGTACACTGTGATTGTTCAGTCTTGGAAAGTGAAATTCATTGTTGCTCCATAATGAATACCAATAAACTTGAGCTATTATCCAAGCACATGGCAAAGCTGTGCTACATAATTTCACAGGTGTCAAACATGCAGCATTCTCCTCCTGTGTATTATTTAAGGCAGTGGTTAGACATGTCAGACCTTGTTCACTGCTCTGTGTTACTGTGTCCTTTCAGCGAACACAGATAAAATACTAAATGTGCATGTTGATGACATGTGTAAAATGGGGTTTTAATCTACACCGACGTTAGACAAAATGCCATCAGATTTGAAATGTATTACCACTGGATCCCATTTAGAGGAATTGTATAGTGTGAATGATAATTGGTCTGCCATATTTTTGTCATCAATCTCTCAACAAACTCACTACACTGATATATATATGTATGGAGAGTGAGTGAGTGAGTTTAGAGAGAGAGAGAGCACTGATATGTGGGTGATGTGGGGTGTACATTGAAAAAATTGTATTCATGATTTTGTCAGTGCATTGAAATGTAGGGGACTGCACTGAGAAATATGGGATGTTGGATACAAGATGTAGGAGACGTTAATAATTTATGGCTAGTGCATTAAATCAATGATGCTGCCCCTTATAATTTTTAAGCATAGTATTTTAATATTTTTATGCACAAAATTGCTAACAACCCTCCCACCCTTCTAGTTTATTTGTACAAAATTGATCCCCCCCAAAAAAAATAAAAATAGAAAATCTAAAAATAAAACAACCCATCGTCTCACCCCCTAACCATAAATTATGAACGGTCCGCAGGAGAGTGCATTGGTATTAGGGGAGTTAGGATGTCAGGGAGGGCATTGATATGTACATGATTTAAGGAGTGCACTGATTTGTACATGTTGTATTGGAGTATTGATGTATACAAGATAACGTGGTGCTTTTGAAAAAAATAGGGGTATATATTGATATAGACATATCGTTTGTGAGTGCATCGATGCATACAGGAAATAGGAGGGTACATATATACATGATAGGGGTTCTTTGAAATGTACCTAACGTACAAGAGTCATATGACATACACATGATATGGGGAGTACATTGATATGCTTAGTATAAAGAAATTTTCACTGGTATTTAAAAGCGTTAGCTCGTCACACGAAGACCCGGTTGATTCCCCACATGGGCACAATGTGTTAAGCCCATTTCTGGTGTCCCCCACCGTGATATTGCTGGAATATTGCTAAAAGCGGCGTAAAACTAAACTCAGTCAGTCAGTCATTGTCAAAATGGTGAAATCATGTAAAATAATGTATGTTGTTTGTTTCACTGAATGTACTGAATAATATAACAATAGTGTGTAAGGGAGAGCAGTGATATGTATACATACATGGATTAGGGGTTTGGGATGCATTGAAATATATGGGAGCGGCATAGGGGAGTGCACTGATATATAGATAATGATTTTGAGTGCATTGATGTATA